AATAATAATGATTAAATCTAGAGTTTATTTCGCTGAAATGCATTGTTATTTGAGTAATGCAGTCGAGATTGTCATTCTAGGACTGGCTTAGTAAGCCACTCGTCGAAGTGCAGGACTACATAGCTACTCCATCGTCTCGCGGAGACGGCAGGGTGCCATATAATTGTTATTTAGTCCAAGAATATCTGTCTTCTTGTTTATCCACTTTTCACATTCCATCCACATAATATCATACTCGATATTGAATCGTTTTTTCTATCTCAAATTATACGCAATTTTTAAAAAAAATTAAAGTAATCGAGGTCTTAAGGGTGGTATTTAATGACATTACCTGTGTCACTTCCGCAGTTGAATATTTCTACAATTTCCTGTTAGCTACATATGGTATGCGTATACAACACGCTAAGAGTATTTTGTTTTTGTTTTGAACTGTTTTTTGATGTCCAAGGCTTTCTTGCAGAAGCGTTCACTACATGGTTTTGTCATTCTTCGGATGTTTCCTCTATCCTTTATATATTTCATTTGCGCTGCCTATGTTTTCAATCGGTTCTATTGTTGGTTTTCTATAGCCTGAAAAATAACCTAAGTCTGGTGGCCACCGACCCATATGAAGCGTTTCCTGATAACCAAGCTGCCTGGGTGAGATTCGGACGTTTCTTTTCACAGGTGAGACAGTTGTTCCCCAGTTTAACTAGTAACTTAACACAGGTGAGACAGTTGTTCACCAGTTTATCTAGTGACCTTACACAGGTGAGACAGTGGTTCTCCAGTTTAACTAGTGACTTTACACAGGTTTGAGTTGCTCACTAGTTAAACAGTTGATTCTAACATCAATAATAATTTTACAAATTTGAAACCCTAACAGTCGAAATACTCCGTGATCCCAGATGTCGCCATCGCGAAGATGACACATCTTTTTTAATGCGTTCCCAAATCTGGTAAGTTGCCCAAGTCTGGTAAGTTGTCCAATTCATGGTAAGTTGTCCAATTGATGGTAAGTTGTCCAATTTCTGATAAGTTGTCCAAATCTGGTTAATTGTCCAATTGATGGTAATTTGTCCAATTGATAGTAAGTTGTCAAATTTCTGGTAAGTTGTCCAAATGTGGTAAGTTGTCCAATTTATGGTAAGTTGTCCAATTTCTGGTAAGTTGTCCAATTTCTGGTAAGTTGTCCAATTTCTGGTAA